TTCGACATGAACTCGATCAATGTGATGTTGGGAAGCCATGTCTGCATATGTACGTTGAAGTATCATATAACAACACATGGAAGTATGTTAAGGGCTTTACACTCTCCATATAAACGTTCTTGTAGTTCGGGGGGAAATATCTTTTAAATCATATCAAATCATAGAGGAAGCTGGACTGGGACGAAATACTCTTTACGATCAGTATTTCAAGGACATCTTTTTCCTGCCGTAGGCGATCATCTAACAAATATTGTATTTTGATATCATGAGACAGTTAGTGAATGTCACGGAATCAATATAATTTATCATTTATGAGGAAATCAACTATTTTACAAGTAATAAATGTAAGGGAATCAATATATTTAGTGAACGTAGAGGAATATATATATAAATATATAACTATATATATGTGTGTGTGTGGAGGAATCAATATGGCCATTGAACATAAAGAAATTAATATTATTTGTGATTGTGGAGAAATCATATGATTTGTGAAGGTGGAGAAATTAATATAGTTTGAGAATGTGGAGAAATCAATATAGTTTGTGAATGTGGAGAAATCAATATAGTTTGTGAATGTGGAGAAATCAAAATAATTTGTGAATGTGGAGAAATCAAAACAGTTTGTGAATGTCGAGAATTCAATACAGTTAGTGAATGTGGAGAAATCAACACAGTTTGTGAATGTGGAGAAATCAATATAGTTTGTGAATGTGGAGAAATCAATATAGTTTGTGAATGTGGAGAAATCAAAATAATTTGTGAATGTGGAGAAATCAAAATATTTGTGAATGTGGGGAAATCAAAAAAGTTTGTGAATGTCGAGAAATCAACACAGTTTGTGAATTACGAGAAATCGATATAGTTTGTGAAGGTGGAGAAATCAATATAGTTTGTGAATGTGGAGAAATCAATATAGTTTGTGAATGTGGAGAAATCAATACAGTTTGTGAATGTAAAGGAACTAATATGATTTGTGAAGGAATTAATCTGATTTGTGAAGGAATTAATCTGATTTGTGATGGAATTAATCTGTTTTGTGAAGGAATTAATCTGATTTGTGAAGGAATTAATCTGATTTGTGAATATCCTCAGCATTCCTCATCCACATTTTAGAAACCTGCAGAATTACTATCTATAGTCTTCGTGAAATAACGTGGTTAGTTTTATCAACCGCCACATCACTTGGGCATTGGGAAAGGTAAGGGACTTATACCAGCTGACAGATATGGCTATTATTTATTCATACTTTATTTACATAGAGATGAAGCTGGCTTGTCTGACGTGTTATTGGTACTTTGCATGACATGGATGGATATATCTTAATCCACACCCCTCACTCTGCGTGTACCATCAATGTATTCAGCCCGTCTGGCCACAATACACACATAACGTCAACGTCAGTGTGTCCTCAGAAACAGATTACATGAATACATTGGGCGCAAAAGTCCAAATAAAAAATACAAACCTTGCCGAGCTACCACCGAGCTGCCACCGAGCTATCACATTCATGCAGTAACTAGTACCGATAGAAGAGTAAAACAATGAAATAGAAAATGTCAACGCCAGATTAATCCGCCGAATCCATTGGTCGTAAAGACAAATAGGTTAAAAGTTGTAACGTTGATCAAACAAAAGTTGAGCAAGAGTTGTATGACCACCTTTGAAGCTCGACAGTACCTCAAGAATTTTTAAATTTGGATACCAAAGGCAGGAGCTGCTGAAATATTGCTCGACATGAAGGGAAAGTTGATTGTTGGAAAGTTGAATATAAGCGACAAAGCCCTTTTCTTATCTCTGCCAAAAGCAGAGTCGACTGTGCGATTTCGACTATATCATGAGCATGTGTTTATGAACCAGTATCAAATAGCGATGATACTAGGTGTTCTTGAAAAGTTGACCGTATCCTGCCCTTCACCGGTTGCACCCGTCACAAACACATGCAAAGAGAAGACAAGTATTCTGCAGAAAAAAGCACGGGAACATGTGGATACAAGACAAAATAGGCATTAGCATCAGGCTGCCACTGGAACTCTCCTCCACATGTCTACCGTGAGACATTTTTCTTGTTATACAATGTTGTGCATATGTTTTTGTCAATCTGAAGGTTTATGCAAAGATATAGATATGAAACAGATGGGGATGTTAAAATGGTCACTTTTTTGGCTAGTTCACGGGGGTAAATCGGTGGAAAGAGAATTGGCTGTTTGGCCATTACTGAATGATATCCGATCATCAATGTACCTTTGAGGTTTTGAGAATCTTCATCGTATTAATTCCACCTGTCCCAAATATGTTCTGCGAATATAAATAAAGTCCTTCCTTAATTGTATTGAGGATTATGGTTAACGTTTTGAAACAGAGATTTGGTGAACCATTTACAGTTCGTGATATAAAGTCATGTCTACGCTTCCAGAGCAATAGTAATTAGCTGCCACAGAAACATGAGGGAGATGAGAAAATGTCGTTCAGGATCAGTAATAACTTCCGGCCACTGATCGTATAAGTGAAACCCCCCGCGACGCTGGTTTCCATGACACTATGTACGCAAAGATTTATTGTATTAAATGTAACTTGGATTTACAAATTAAGACTAAAACATATCTTTCTGCCAATACTAAACTACCAATAGTGCTATAAATATACCATCCCTGGTAGAAAGAAAGAAACACTAACGTGCATTGATCCATCCAGTCCCCAAGCCACAAATATCTCCCCACCCCCACACCCACCCCCACCCCCACCACACACCCACCACACACCCACACCCACCCCCTCCCCCTCCCCGAACATCACAGCAGTTGTTGTATCGCAACCTGCTGCTATTTAGCTCTACTTGCACACAAATCATTCCATGTTCAAAGTCTCATACGTGTCAAGGGGCATATTGTCCGCCTTTGTTCTGAGAACTAAAGGAAGCTGAAAATTCCCGGCATAAATTATAATCACAGCATGTGGGTATTAAAAAGGTCCTGGCGTCCTCGATACTGTGCCCTTCGGGAACACTTCATGTGTTATCCGATGTTGAAGTTTCACACCAAAAGACACATTTTATGTTGCCGGAAGAGGGAGGGAAGCAGGCGCCAAGCAGAAGAGGAAGAACCGCTTCATGCAGAAGATAAGTTCTAAAACGGTTCTTCACAGCTATCGTAACTAAGTACAATTAATCATTCCTATGTTAGCCCTCTATATGTAAAGGTTAGTTGCAAGGGTTCGTAGATATGTACTTTAATCATACATAAGTCACACAGATATATGTGGAGATCAGTTACAAGGGTTTGTTTGTTTGGTTTGTCGTGTAACGCCACACTCAGCAATATGCCAGCTTTATGACAGCGATCTGTAAATAATCAAATCTGGGCCAGATAATGCAGTGATTGACATCATGGGCATCGATCCATGCAATTGTGAATCGATGACATCCATGTTACCGAGCCTGACCAACCGATTCCGTTATCGCCTCTGACGACAAGCATTGTGTTGCTGAAGACCTATTCTAACCGGACAAGGGTTCATAATTATATAAGTAAGTACTTTAAACTTACGAAAGTCACACAGACATAGGTAGAGATTAGTTACAAAGGTTTGTTACTGAGCACTTCAGACATAGGTAAGTCACAGTAGATATTAGTTACCGAGGTTCGCCACCGAGTTCTTAAAAGTTTTATTAAATTACGCCTCAACTTAAAGACTATAATTAAAAAGGCCCATCGCTGAGTTTTTCAAAGCTGCATCTGTCACAGCGATCTAATGTTGAGATAAGACAAATCCCAAAGTGACTACAGCCTGGTTGGCGTTATTCCACAATAACCTTTGATGTAGATAGAGTTAAAGATAGAAGAGGCTTTAGGGACAGGTGAAGACGGGTTACTGTGATACCGTGAGATCAGCAGGCTGCGACAACCAGCCTTGTACCGTTATCGTCGCCTTGTGTTCAGCCGAGAGAGATCAGGCAGAGATGCTACAAGTTCCGATTCTGTTGGAGAATGCCAAGTTGTTGCCACCTTGATGTGAGTGTGGAAATCTTGATGTTTTTGTGCCATTGCTAGGGCAGTTATTGGGCGTTGGGGAGTGTGTGACTGCAGTGTAGCTTCCCGCTGTTATAACCTAGTGGTGTTAATTCTGCAATTAGTTCGTAATAACCACATAAACACCTACTCCTTACTGTTTTTTAACCCGTGGCATTTTCTTGAATGTACATGTCTGTCTGGTTGTTCTGAAGACCTTTCATAATTTACATATTTCTCAGATACATTTGTTTATTTCTTTACTTCAGATGACCTCCGATAGATTCAGACATCATCAGTGACGTCCAAGGATATATTGTAATAAAGGCTATTCATTGACCAGGGATATGTTGTGCTGAAGGATATTCAATAACCAGGGATATGTCATAATAAAGGATATTCATTGACCAGGGATGTGTTGTACTGAAGGATATTCGATAACCAGGGATATATTATAATAAAGGATATTCTATGACCAGGGATATGTTGTACTGAAGGTCGTTCAATAACCAGGGATATGTTGTTGTACTGAAGGATGTTCAATAACCAGGGATATGTTGTAATAAAGGATATTAAATGACCAGGAATGTGTTGTATTGAAGGATATTCAATTGACCAGGTATTCGTTAACTAAAGGATCTTCAAGTAACCATATATTTGCTATGACAAAGGATATATGGATGACCAGGTATTCGGTTTACTAAAGGATATTCATGTTACCATACTTTGGTTATGAAAAAGGATGTTTGAGTGAATCAGTGACGTCCAAGAATATTTTGTAATAAAGGATATTCAATGACCAGGTATATGTTGTACTGAAGGATATTAAATGACCAGGGATATGTTGTATTGAAGGATATTCAATGACCAGGGATAAGTTGTATTTAGGATATACAATACGCCAGGTATTCGTTAACTAAAGGATCTACGAGTTACCATATTTGGTTATGGCAAAGGGTGTTCGGGTGAACATACACTCGTGGAAATAAAGGCTATTCGAGTGACCAGGTAGTAGTTTTGGGTCAAGTGACAGGTCACCGGACATTATTGGGGCTGGGCAGTTGACCAAGTATTCGTTGGACTTTAGGATATTTTGTCAGTCAAGATAATTGGTTGAATAAAGGATATTTAACTGTCCAGGTATTTGGTTAACAAGAAGATACAGTGGCCGGGTATTCGTTGGACCAAACAATATTCAACCGTGAGGAAAATCGTGGATAAAAGAAGAATACCAAAGCGTTTATTCAAATCGAGGAAATCCCTTGACCTTTTTTCAATATTCATGATCATATGAAGTGGACTTCATCCAATACCGTAAAGAGAGAGAGAGAGAGAGAGAGAGAGAGAGAGAGAGAGAGAGAGAGAGAGAGAGAGAGAGAGAGAGAGAGAGAGAGTAGTCCCCGCTCGGCGTTTAAAGGGAACGCTATAAGGATTAGGACGGCAGGCTGAAGTGCAGCCGTCAGTGTGTCGTACGAAAGATTCCAATTCCTCAGCCGTGTTACAGAATCCATAACTTGCAATCGGCGATCTCTGAGAACACGACCTAGCAGAACAGGCACCAGATGTGTCGTGGGTTGTAGCCGAGGCACACAGGTCTGGGGCAGATTAGGGGGCAACACCCTCCCTTAGACGGTAGCGCCCCACCCCCTCCTCACAAGGCCGGGATACCTGTGGGAACCACGCCTTGTTGCCTTCAAGACTTCTCCAACATTGACCACTGTGGTAAGTTGCAATACTTCTACGTTTGAACTGTGTCATGAAGTGGTGGTTTGAGGCCACGCTTGAAGTGTGGCTTATCCATTATCCCTCGTCAGTCAAGCATGACCTGGAAATGGGTTACACACTGTTGGTTGTGCCATGATGGGGAAGCTCTCGCTGCTTAAGAACTACGGTTACCTCTGCTTGTTCTTGTTCAAAAACTTACATAATTCTTTACAACGTAACTATATAGAGTATGTATTGAGAGATAGTGTTGCTTTATAGTGTACCAGCACTGCACAATCTGTCTGCGGTCGCCATTCTTGTTGTCTCTCTCGCCCTTTCACTGCCACCTACTATCAGTGCTGTCACTTAGATTTTTCATAAAGCCAACATTTCAGTATTATACTTATGTACTTTGTAGTATCATATATATTTTGTCACCAGTTCCAATTGCAATATTTATGAAGGCACCTGTCTAAACTTTAACACCGTGTGGCTATAAGGTAAATATTGGTATCAATTCTCTCTTATACTTTATGGGGCGGTCGGGTAGCCTAGTGGTTAAAGCGTTCGCTCGTCACGCTGAACACCCGGGTTCGATTCCCGACATGGGTACAATGTGTGAAGCCCATTTCTGGTGTCCCCCGATGTGATATTTCTGGAATATTGCTAAAAGCGGCGTAAAACCATACTCACTCACTCACTCTTATACTTTATATTATGAAAATGAGTTCTTTCGTGTTGGTATCTCATGACATAAACTTTTAAAGAGTATTTGAGTGACATGTTATATTTCAAAGTTAATCAGGAGTATATCATCTTGTAAATATCATTTCTCATATATTTTGTGTCATATTACCCGATTTTTTATGTTTTCTACAGATTACAAGTTATACTTCTATGGGTTCCTTATTGGGCTCGTTGATGTTTCATTAATATGCTGAATCCGTACCAATAGGATGAACGTACGTTCATAATCATAAGTAGGTGTACTATACACATAAAACATGTGCTGCTCATACCAATAATTATAAGTATGACATAAACAAATCGACCAATACGTACCTTTCCATACGTGATTTATTTATCGAATCAGAACTTTAGTTTAATAAAATGTTACAGGTTCTAAAATGAAACCTAATGGCATATGTCTGTCGTTCGAGTGTTTTCGAGTGTAAGATACTGTACTTCCTATGCTTCTGCAGGAGTCCTATTCTGATCTGGGAATTAGCGACATCGTTGTTTGAGATTGATGTTTAAAAATCACCATCATTTTATGGTGATAACAAATGAACATTACTATACATGTATGTTGTATTTGGGGGATATCGTTTAGGTGAGATCAAGCGATATCCCCAAGGAGATATCGCTAAATGGAAGTGCATCACAATGCTTTGCAGATCATTATGACGTCATCGGTTACCATGACATCACTAATCTCTCTGTCACTGAAGCCGGTTAGATGTACTTTTAACACACAAATGGTTAAACTATTACTGTTAACCAACTGAAAAACGTAAGAATTACTTTTGGATGATAGTAGATTCTCACCCTTCATGTCTTGGGTGAGATTCTCTATGTATTTTTAGTTCAGTTGTTATTTTCAAGCCGTTTACTGTCCTTAACTACATTCAACATGTATGTGATATCTCAGTGGAGGTAAACTGTGATTTCAACCTAGATGTTTCCAACCTGAAATTTCATCCAAACCTTTTACGTAAGCGTGACGTTTCGAATCTGAATATTTAGCTGCTTCAGAGTCCGAAGCCTTTCAAACACAAACGTTGTTTGTCTATTCTACCATGACACAGTGACAAAAACCGCGAATACTTTGTAATAGCGAAAGTGATTAGTGATGTGTTATCGAATGAGTCTAATATTTTCAATAGGTCGAATTCGGGGATCAATGATGATCGATTTTAATCCGCGTTGTTTTTTTATTTCAAACAATAGTTTCTCTCTAATTAAGTATCTCTCCATTATAAAACAAAATGATCGTGTAATATTTGATACCGCTGGTGGATTCCATCAATTCATGGTAGAATATTTATTTGAAAATTTATTAGGCATTCAAAAATATCAATAAAATGTATTTCGACAAAACAAATACACATATCTCTTCCCAATCATCTTATTAGAGGGTATAGATTTGTCCACTAACTATGTGGCTACTTGGCGAACGAGTAACGATTGATGTATTTATTCATGTAACCTTTACGAGTCTTTCATCTGTCTCACGCTTATCCCATGTCGCGAAAACGTTAATTGCACGTTGTTATTTGTTGTGCTGACACAAACACCGAGTAAGCAGTGTTTTTATGACGACAAAACGCCATCATTATATATACACACTTGGCATAGGGTTACAAGTGTTTGCTGTCGTTTTATCTTTATTCTTTTAATGGTACCGTTACTTTCTCCTTAGGCATTTCATAACTGTTTCTAACTCCATCATTAAGGAATATGCCTGCTGCTTGGTTGGTATTCTTGTTGCCTTTGTATTGTCAGTGCTTCCTGTTTGTTGGGTAACGTTGCGGAGAGGAGAGGTAAGAGAGGTAAGAACGTACTTCGATTGCTTGTGTGAAACATCATCGATGTCCTTCTTTAAAAAAATTTATGTTTTTGACGGGTGCTACCGGTGGGGCAGGAAACATCACCGTTTTGCGAACGGTGTCATTACTATTTGATAGTGATTCATAAACACATGCTCATGATATAGTCGGAATCGTACAATCGACTCTGCTTTATTGGATATGGAAAGGATTTTGTCGCTTTATTGATTTCGATGAAAATGTGTTTTAACCACATTACCTGTTTTCATCAAGTATTTGTTGTAAAAAGTGTAACGACTGTCATTACTCGTAGATTTATTTTGTTTGAGGTTTTAATGGTTGATGTGTTCTATCAACATTTATTGGCGTTCTTACCCATCGTGGCATTGTATGTGGTTTATATCCTATAACTAGTGTTTAGTTCTGTCATATCATACACCTGAGTGTAATCACAGGACCTTTCTCTATAAATACCACTGACTGTTTTGTCCGGGGAGAGCTGACTTGTTGGTTCGTGCACAGGGAATAACATTTTCCTCTAGATTAGAATTAAGAAACTTTAGCACCCAACGAGCAAATATTTTATTCATCTGTAATTGTTCATGAATATTAGTTTCAGTGGGTCCATGGCTTAGACCTGTGTCTGATCGATGGTAATACGTCAATCTGACAGTGTATGTTTTTCCATCTCCTTGACTGGATTTTAATTGATGGAAGTTGAGGGACGTCCAGACTTAGGGTCATCATCTAGGCTTGTTCTACAGGCCTTAAACATATCTGCGCAGTGGAATAGCTAGAAAACCTATCCCCATACACTTGTGACATGCGATCCTGAATGTCTTGGGGAGCCTTGTTCTCTGAAGTCAAAAACTTGATTGCTCGGTACTCGGGTTTTTTTTCATTTCTGTGTCAATTTACACCCCTATCACGTTCAACTGGCTGTCACTAATATACAAACGGCTTCAACAGAACAAATATTTCGCAATATCTTCTCTAGAAAACACAAAGTTATCTGTCGGATATATTACAACGAAATTGATAACCGCCTTAATAAGACGCATTCGTCTAGCACGGTGACATTACAAAACCGAAGATTGTGTGTATTTCTAGCCCTAGTTTCAGTTGCGCAAGACTTCATGACGCGACGGTCGTTGCTGCACAGTTAACGTTAATCAAACAACGGAGGAACTGATAAAGACAGCAAGCAGATGTATCTTGACGGCGAAAGATGCAGACGTTTTTCATTATTGTTCTTTTGATCTTAATGTGGTTATATTTCTGAGCGTCACTAAACATCGTATACAACGCCATTTTAATGTGCAATATTTGGTGAAGTGGTGCAAGCCGTATTGTCGGCATCCGTAACGGAGACGTTATGGCAAACACCATAGGTGTTAGAGGCGCACGTAAAATGTACATTAACTTGTCTGTAATCACCTCGTTTACGTGTGCGAGTGTGTAAGTGTGCATTCGTGTGCGTGTATGTCTGTGTCTGTTGTTTAACACCGCACTCTATAACGCAGCTGCATAACGGCGACAAGTAAATAATCGATTCTTGACCAGACGATCCAGTGATTGATGTTATGAGCCGTCGTGGTACAATCGACAAAGTCACCTCACCATTCCGTTCACTGTTCCATTAAGTTGCCTCTTCGGTTGGAAGCAATTCTCACCCGAGTCAAAGGTGGCACACTGATACATCTCGTCACAGAAACAAGAAAAATCTCTTCAGAGGCAACATGACTAGTTAGTCAGAGGTACCAGTACTAACCAGTCAGAGGAACCAGTAGTAACCAGTCAGGGGTACCAGTACTAACAAGTCAGGGGTAACAGTAGTAACCAGTCAGGGGTAACAGTAGTAACCAGTCAGGGGTACCAGTAGTAACCAGTCAGGCGTACCAGCACTAACCAGTCAGGGGTAACGGTACTAACCTGTTAGAGGTAACAGTACTAACCAGTCAGGGGTACCAGTACTTACCAGTCAGAGGAACCAGTAGTAACCAGTCAGGGGTACCAGTACTAACCAGTCAGAGGAACCAGTAGTAACCAGTCAGGGGTACCAGTACTTACCAGTCAGAGGAACCAGTAGTAACCAGTCAGGGGTACCAGTACTAACCAGTCAGGGGTAGCGGTACTAACCAGTCAGGGATAACAGTACTAACCAGTCAGAGGTACCGGTATTACCAGTCAGGGGTACCAGTACTTACCAGTCAGAGGAACCAGTAGTAACCAGTCAGAGTACCAGTACTAACCTGTCAGAGGAACCAGTACTAACCAGTCAGATGTAACGGTACTAACCAGTCAGAGGTAGCAGTACTTACCATTCAGGGGTATCAGTACTAACCAGTAAGGGATACCAGTACTAACCAGTCAGGGGTACCAGTACTAACCAGTCAAGGGTACCAAGACTGACTAGTCAGGGGTACCAGTACTAACCAATCAGGGGTACCATTACTTACCAGTCAGGGG